AAAAGAAGACCTTCTGGAGTTACTCGGCCTTTACCAACCCATGCAAATCCCAGGTGAAATTCAACCAAAGGGGACCTTGCTCTGGTCCCATTTCCGGAGATGTTTCTGGCCAACCTCCTTCACCCCCCACCGCCACCGCCACTGTAACAAGGGCAGGTCCTGACAACTCTTTGAAACTCCGAGGGTTTAAAATTTAAATGTCTTTGAGGTCAAGAGAAACACACCAAAATAAACATACCTACTTCTGAACAGAGAAAGGGAAACTTGGCAGGCGCCCCAGAACTTTCCCCACCCCCAGCCCTCCCTAAACTTCCTCTTGTGGTTTCTCAAGAGCACAACCTGTTCTCCTTACCCAAGAAAGTGCCCGGGGGCAGGGGGCCGGGGCCTCCACCGCACCCCACCCTGTGACAAGGGAGAAAAGTATGTGAGGCAGAAAAGCTGCCTGGAGGTCTATCCAGTTCTGAATTTCACAACCTGCTTACCTGTTATCTTGATGTGGCCCCTGTGGCCTCCCCCCCTACCCTTAACTGCCAGCAGCGACACCCCTCCCCTTCCCCCTCCCCCCCAAAGACAGATGCACAATGTGGTTTGACTGCAGGCAGAGGGGGACCGCTTCAGGCCTCGCCAGATCTGTGCAGAGAGGGCTCTGGTGAAAAACCTAGAGTTTCAATGGAAGGCAATGGAAAAGTGGGCGGAATCCCAAGAACCTCTGCCCTGTGGCCTGGCTCCCATCATGGGCAAGGTCCTAGCCTGCTTGGAGGGACGGGGTCAGATACACAGATTGGCTTTGGGATGCAGCCTCAGTTGGGGAAGAGAGGGGAACATCTTAAGACTGCTGCCACTACCTGACCTTCCTCCTTACCCAGCTACCTACCAAGTTGGACAGTTCCTCTTGGGATCTAAAATATAAAGGCCTCCGCTATTCTCAAAGATTCCCAGCAAAAGAGGTGTCTCTGACACAGATTCTGGCACATCACATCCATGTTGCTTTCTTCCTGGCATCAAACCTGTTTGTTCTCTTGATGAGTGAGGCTTATTCAACACACACACACACACACACACACACACATACACACACACACACATAGCCATAAAGAAAGCATACCAGCCCCTGTGTAGTCCTTACAAGCCTACTCCAGACCTGCAGGAGCTCCATGGAAACCGTTACCAGCCCCAATGCTCAGCTAAAAGGTTTCTCTCCTCCATACCACCCAAGACACAGGACCTTCTGGAAACTCCCAAGTCCCTGGCTCAAGTGAACATTCTATGTGGTCAGTCAAGGAGGCAGGTTAGTCTAGTGGTTAGTATAGGGCCACTCAGGTCAAGTGACCTGGATTTCAATCTCAGCGCTGCCATTTATTGCCATTTATTTCTGGTGTACTCTCTCTCTCTTTTTTTTTAATGCTTATTTATTTGAGGGAGAGAGAGAGCAAGCAGGGGAGGTGCAGTGACAGGGGAGATAGATGATTAGAAGCGGGCTCTGCACTGACAGCGAAGAGCCCACCGTGGGGCTTGAACCCACGAACCGTGAGACCATGACCTGAGCCAAAGTTGGACACTCAACTGACTGAGCCACCCAGGTGCCCCTCTGGTGTACTCTTTAGAAAAATTATTTAGGAGCTCCTGGGTGGTTCAGTTGGTTAAATGTCCGACTTCGGCTCAGGTCATGATCTCACAGTTCGTGGGTTCCAGCCCTACGTCAGGCTCTGTGCTGACAGCTCAGAGCCTGGAGCCTGCTTCTGATTCTGTGATTCAGTGTCTCCCTTTCGCTCTCTGCCCCTTACCCACTTGTGCTCTGTCTCTCTCTGTCTCTGAACAATAAAAAACAATGTTTTTAAAAAAATAGAAAAATGATTTACAGGGGCGCCTGGATGGTTCAGTTCATTAAGCGTCCAACTCTTGGTTTCAGCACAGGTCATGATCTCATGGTTCGTGAGTTCGAGCCTCACATCCGGCTCTGTGCTAACAGTCTGGAGCCTGTTTGGGATTCTCTCCCTCTCTCTCTCTCTGCTCCTCCCCACTCACACTGTCTCTCTCTCTCAAAATAAATAAACTTAAATAAAAGAAAGAAAACTGACTTATCTCCTCTGTGCCTAGGTTTTCTCATCTATACAATGGAGATAAGCCTACTGCTTACCTCACAGAACTTAAGATTAAATAAGACATTACACCCCAAACATTAAGTACCATACTATGACAGTACTATATAAGTGTCAGCTAGTATTCTGAACCCTTCAGGGAAGGAAACAGAAAAGAGGAGGCATTTAGGACCACGGAGATCATGGCTTCAAGGACTAGGATCCTACTGGAATTCTCAGACACGCTTTTGATTCCAAATTCTAGGCAAAGTAGCTCTGGCTTGTTTACCATTATAACCCCAACATCTCCCCTGTGCAGAGAGACCATATGTGCATGTATGACCATAGCAAACAGGTGGTGAATGAATTCATCAGATGTTGTATCAGTCATCCCTCCAAGGAGCCCATGAATCGAAAGAACATTAGAATCTGCAGGAATGCATTGGACGATCCAGTTCTCTTCACCCATGTCTGGTCCCCATGGGAACTGAGGTGGGGCACATAGAGGAAACAGTGGAAACAGTGGACAGCCCTACAGTCCAAAGATGGGAAGTGGGTACCCCAACAATGTGTGGATGCTCACACAACCCTCAGGTGGACTCCAGGCAGCACCCAGCTGGAAATTTCTGGATTCTTAGGGACCAGTCCAGACACCTGCCTTTCCCTTAATTCATCCTGTTCATTCCCACCTCTTCTTCATGCCTGGACAGTGGGTTAAGAAGAGTAGGAACGCCTTCTGGGTCCTCACTGCATCCCAATGCCCAACACCACAGTCAGGGTCACTCTCCCCAAAGGCTTCCTACCACTTCTCTGCCTGGTGGCTATCCATCACTCAGAATCTAACTCCGCGTCGTCTTCTCTCTGAAGCCTCACTAGCCAGCACAGCTTGGTGCTTTGTCTCTCCACACTAATTACAGAAGAGTAACATCATGGCGCCCCTCAGCATCCCATAAACCCTAGACACATAGTAGGCGCTCAGTGTTCGCAAATGAAACCATTATGCTTCCTTAGTAACAGTAACCAATTTCTTCCAGTCTTGGCAATACGTTAAAAAAACACAGAAGAGGTTTCTGTACCCATCAGACACCAGAGGGGTCCCTCCTTCCAGACCTGTCCTCTGACCTCCTCCCTCCGTTCTGACTGGCAGGAGGACTCGAAGGCTCCTTGCCCACATGGGTTCTGCCTTCCTACTCGCCTCCCACTCCTATGTCTGAAGTACGAAGAACGACAACTCAGTGAAGACCACTGGGCATCTAGGTCAGCTTGGAGAGGGACAGTACCGACAGAGCTCAGGGCTTTCGGGGACTTCTCTGCCCTTCCAATAGGTGCAGAAGAGAAAGGGAGCCTAGCTTTGGGGGACAACGGGGAGGTGAGGAGGGACCGGTGACCTCCTTAACCCACCCATCTCAGACCCCTACCCCAGGCGTCCAACCTGAGTTTGGCGGCCCCAGAGAAGGGTGGAGATGCTGACACCCCATCAATCTAGGCTTTTCCAGCCTCCAAGCCTACCTCCATAGCAGGTGAGCCCCGCGGAGCACGGATTGTGGCCTCACTGTACTGCCGCCTCTGGCTTCCGACTTTGGGGAGGTGGCGGGTGGCCCCCTCCAGCTGTGCAGAGGGGCGTGCACCCCTCCACCAGGCGCCTCAACAGAACCAGTCTCCACCCCCGCGGGCGCCGCGTGTTTACAAAGTCCGCGCCGCGGATCCCGAGTTTAAAGCTGGGCAGGAAGTGGGGAAGAGGGGGCGGGGGAGACAAAGGAGCTGGGTGCTGGGTTCTGCTAAAGTTTGGGCCCCAACTCCTCCCAGTGCGGCGCGCAGCCCGCCCCGCAGACCCCGACCCACGTGCCCTAGGTGAGGGGGCGGGGAACGCCCCCAGGCTCAGGTGAGCAGGTCGGGTGGGTGTGGCCAGGTTCCCAGATCCCTGCCTTCCAGGCGTGCGCCTTTCCTTCACGCCTTGCGCAGGAAATAAACAACCCTATGTGCTGTTTCTTGACGTACTATATGTCTGGCACCGTGCCAGACCCTTTGTATGAGTTCATTTTCTTTTCTGCTAATAATCCCACCCCGGTTTCACAAAAGAGGAAACTGAGACACAGTAAGGTTAGGTAAGGTGCCCGAAGTCCCACACCTGGCGAGTGTTAGGATTCAAACCCAGCGTCCGCGCCCTCCCAGGCACTCGCAAACGGAGCAGAAAGAGGCGCGGTGCGGTCCCTGGTCCCCGCCCGGAGAGCCCCCACCCAGAACGGCTGATGAGGGAGTACAGACACAGAAAATCACAAGCACCGCGTGGACGTACCGCTCTGGGAAGGAGGCAGGCACCGGACAGCCTCCCGCCGCCTGCGCTTCCCGGCTTGCCCCGCAAATACCTGCGGATTGAAGGCGAGAAGACAGCGGACGCAGCGGAAGATCTGGGCTATCTGGTCTGAAGGCTCTAGTTCCAAGTGAGCCGTTGTTGGGCCTAAGGGCCCCAAATTCCCCCCTCAGGAGAATCACCTGGAGAGCTTCACAATACAGAGTTCTAGGCCCCTTCCCCAAGGACTGAGTCAGTGGGACCGAGCGGCACCCAGCCAGGTGTTGCTAACAATCAGTCAAGTTTGGAGCATTCCAGGGATGTGCTCTTTATGAAAAATGATTTCACCTAGCAACAGGTATGAGACCGAGGACGCATCTTCCTGCCCAAATCCGAGGCTCACTGGGGCCGCAAGAACCCGCCACTCACAGAAGGCTACGTGAGCTGGGGGCGACAGACACAAACACCCCATCCGCCCAGACTTAGGAAAGCCCAGAGTGGTGCACGCCGCCCCGCCCCCTCCTCGCTCTCCCCGCCCACCCCGCTCTCCCCGCCCACCCCGCTCTCCCCGCCCACCCCGCTCGGCGACTACAAGTCCCATCCTGCCCTGCGCTCGCGCACATTACGCCAGAGCAAGATGGCCGACACCGCGGCCACTGCCGGGGCCGGTGGCTCCGGAACGGTAAGGGCGGGAGGCGTGGGGCCGAGGCCGAGAGAGTCTGGGCATTCTGTAATTTCCCGCTAGTGTGGGCAACAATCTCATAGCCAGAAATCCAGCCCCACTATGAGCTCCGAGTGGAGGAGGGTCTATCAGGCCGTACATGCTCCCCTCCTTGGGACTTGGCGGCGGCCTCCTGAGTTGGTGGACCCGTGTACTGATTGGCTCCTTTCCTGTTGGGGGTTGGGAACCCGGAACACCTCCTGATTGGTTCGAAGACGCCAGTTTCGCTTCTTTATTGGCCAGCCAAAGTTGGGAGGGATTCCCGTTTCAAAATATTTAGCTTTTCTACTTTTCTGTGCTGTTGTCGTTTTCCTAACACTCCTCAGCGTCCTCTGGTGCTGTTTTAATTTTTCTTGTTAATGAAATGGTGTGGTGATGGGAGGAACAAGAGAGTAATCATTTTTTTCTTAAAAGATAGGCTTGAATTCAATCCCATCATGCATGTTTTTTCAGCTACATATTCTGATAATCTGCTAAAATAGAAAGTAAAAAAATGGGTATTTTGTGATATTGGAATTTTCAGTTTTAGGTAGCCTTTTGGTATTTAGAGCCCCTTGGTACTTATTATTCAGCTAGCCAAGATTTACAAGTCTAAGCACCAGGGGTTACCACCTTTTATTAAGCACTGATAAATATTTAGCAAAAGAACTTTTGCTTGGCATTGATGATATGTGAACTATTTCATTGCATCCTTGCTGTGTAGGTGAAAATCTTTTTTTTTTTTTTTTTTTTTTTAATGGGTTACTGATTTGCAGAGATCAGGAAGTAAACAGTCCACTAATCCTGCTGATAACTACCATCTGGCCCGGAGGCGAACCCTTCAAGTGGTTGTGAGCTCCTTGTTGACAGAGGCAGGGTTTGAGAGTGCCGAGAAAGCGTCTGTGGAAACATTGACAGAGATGCTGCAGAGCTGTAAGTACCAAGAAACGATAGGCCATCGTCCAGTCAACCAGATGTCTGTTCTGTGTCCTGCAGTGTGATCGTGTAAGAGAAGGTTTAGCAAAAAGAACATAGTAAAGTGACTTACAGGCTTTAGAATCAGATGGACATGGGTGTAAGTCATTGCTCTGCCCCTTCATAGGCTGAGCAAATCACTAAACCTGAACTTAAATTTCCTTATTTGTGAAATAGGATAATAATTTGTATCTCATGGAGTTGTGAGTATAAGTGAGCTGCAGATGTAAAACATATGATGTTTGGGACATTGTAAGCTCTTGGTGACTTGTAGGTGCTGTTATTGCTGTCTCTTGTCTGTGCTCAAAAACGTCATAGTTTTGTTGCAGAGTTATGATTAATTTCCATGAAGTAGATGCTACACATTGCATAATCAAATGCTATAGTATGTGATTCAAAGAGGGAGGGTAAAGAAGTTTTATAGAATGGGAAAACACTTTTTTATTTATTTTTGAGGTGGGAAAGGGGAGAGAGAAAGAGACTCCCAAGCCAGCTTCATGTTTTCAGTGCAGAGCCACATCCAGGGCTCAATCCCACACACGTGGGATGATGACATAAGGTGACATCAAGAGCCAGGTGATTAGCCAGCTGAGCCACCCAGGCATCATTGGGTAAAAACGTTTTTAAAAGGAAACATGTTGGGGTGCCTGGTTGGCTCAGTCAGTTAAGTGTCCGACTTCAGTTCAGGTCACGATCTCACAGTTTGTGGGTTTGAGCCCAAAGTTGGGCTCTGCTGACAGCTCAGAGCCTGGAGCCTGCTTCAGATTCTGTGTCTCCCTCTCTCTGCCCCTCCCCTGCTCACACTCTGTCTCTCTTTCTCTCTCAAAAATAAATAAAAACATGAAAATAAATAAATAAAGGAAACACACTGAGGTTTAGGAGCGTGGAATGGTCTCATATAGCCTTTTCTGCTTCTGCAATGTATTACCCTGCTTGGGTCTTAGTTGGGGTGGAGAGGTGAAGTAGGATGGAATGAGAGATGAGATTATTTAAGGTCTCTTTTGAGAGATCAACACTTATGAATGTGAAAAAGAAATTTAGGCAGGGGGAGAAGTTAACTGCGATGCAGGCCAAGTAAAGGATTGGCCAACTGGGGGAGCTCTGGAGCAATTGTTCGCTATCAGAAGACACCACATCAGGTTGAAAAGGCGCTGCTGTGTACTTAGGTCTTGATCAGGCACTCCGTGTGGGCTGCCCCAGGAAGGACGTGGTCTGAGGTGAGGTGGCTCTCTGCAGCTGATGTTTGGAACTTTCAAATACCACATGTTATGGTCTTAGAAGCTCATTAGACTCTTAAATATTGAGGACCTCAGGAGTTTTGTCTACAGGGGCTTTATAGCGAGAGATTTTTGCCACATTAGAAAATAAATTTGAGAAAATCTCAGACGTATACATATGCAAGCCCACATTCCGTTAGCCCTCAGACCCATGATATCATCATAGGGCATATAGCCTCTGGAAAACTACATGAGAAAGGAGAGAACAAAAGTCAAAGAATGTCTTCACTTTATTATAAACATAGCTTTGGCCAGTGGACTCTGGAAAGGATTTCAGGGCTGCCTGGGGATTCCCAGACCACACTTTGAGAACTTTTGTCCTAAAGGAATGGACTAATAGTTCCCAACAGAGAAGAATTCAATTCTTCTTTTTATTATTTTTTTTTAACATGTATTTAATTTTGAGAGCGAGAGAGACAGTGCGAGCAGGGGAGGGGCAAAAAGAGAGAGGGAGGCACAGAATCCAAAGCAGGCTCCAGGCTCCGAGCCATCAGCACAGAGCCTGACAAGGGGCTCGAGCTCATGAACCGTGAGATCTTGACCTGAGCCAAATTTGGGTGCTTAACGGACTGAGCCACCCAAGTGCCCTGACAATTCAGTTCTTGAAAAGCTCTTGGAATTCAGAGTTTAACGGTCCTCGTGATTGAGGCAGTTCTTTCTGATACCACTGGGCAGGAGCCCTTTTTCCTCTCAGAAGAAATGGTTGCCACTGAGAGGGATGGCGCTGAAGTAGTTGTGTTGGAAAGCTGTGAATATTGAAACTATAAGGTTTGAAAATAGCATAAAAGTCTGCCACTTCATTCCAAGGAATACCAAGGATAGCTTGGAATACCAAGGATGGCTTAAACCGGGGTCTTGCTAAGACTTGGGCACTTCCATGTGGTCAAGAGCTCTGGAGATGGATGAAACTAGAGTGTGTAATGCTAAGTGAAGTAAGTCAGTCACAGAAGGACAAATATCCTATGATTTCACTTATATGTGGAATTTAAGAAACAAAACAAATGAAGATAGGGGAAGGGAAGGAAAAATAAGATAAAAACAGGGAGGGAAACCATAAGAGACTCCTAAATACAGAGAGCAAATGAGGGTTGCCGGAGGGGAGTTAAGGGGGGTATGGGCTAAATGGGGGATGGGCGGGAGCGCCTGAGTGGCTCAGTCAGTTAATCTGACGTCAGCTCAGGTCATGTCACGGTTCATGAGTTTGAGCCCCGCATCAGGCTCCACAAAGACAGCCTGGAGAGATCTCCATCTCTCTCCGCCCCTCCCCCATTCATGCTCTGTCTCTCAAAAATAAAAACTGGTAAAAATAAATAAATAAATAAAAAACAAATGGGGGATGGGCAATAAGGAGGACACTCAGGATGAGCACTGGGTGGCAGATGTAAGAGATGAATCACTGGGTTCTAGTCCTGAAGCCAAGACTACACTGTAGTTAACTAACAGTAAGTTAACTAACTTGAGTTTAAATTTAAAAATAAATAAATAAAAGAGCTCTGGATACAAAGTTTTAGGATCTGTGTTAGTTATAAGCATCAGGCAGAGTTTCTGTGTTTGTTGCCTATAGTTGGTCAGTTTCTAACTGAAACCCAGTTAGTCTGGGTTCAGAACAAAGTCTCTGAATATTTTTTCGACATTTCTCGTACATACCTTTGAGATCCTAAGAGCTGCTGGCATGTAAGAAGAATAGCCAAATGGGTTAAGATATTTTAACTGTCACCTGGCTTCCTTCTAAGATGTTCCACCGGGATTCTAATTAGATTTTCCCCCATAGTAAACAGATGCTACCCACTGTTTTCACGTATGGAAGCTAGTAATAGTGACTTGTCCAGGATAACATGGCAAGTTGGGTGGTGAGTCTTCATTTTGACACCCATCCCTCTCAAGCACCACTTGCTTTTATATCCTGAACCATTAGGGCCTCTAAAAGGAGCAGGGGCTCCTTACCTTTAGGGGCTCCTTTTGCCTCTGATGAGATCTGTGGACCCATCCCTGGAAAAAAGCTTTTCTGTAGGTAAAATTCAGCACAGTTTCAAGAGTTTTCAGTGTTTTACCCATCTACCTCTGAAGCCCATTTATGGAGCCCAGCTTCATACCTCCTCTTTTCCCTGAAGGACTTTGGTATAACTCTTTTTTTTTTTAAGATTTTATTTTATTTATTTTTTAATTTTTTTTTTTTAAATATTTATTTTTAAGAGAGAGAGAGGGAGGGAGACAGCGCAAGCAGGGCAGGGGCAGAGAGGAAGACACAGAATCTGAAGCAGGCTCCAGACTCTGAGCTGTCAGCAAAGAGCCCGACATGGGGCTCGAACTGCGAGATCGTGACCTGAGCTGAAGTCAGACACTTAGCAGACTGAGCCACCTAGGACCTAGGCACCCATTAAGATTTTATATCTTAAGTAATCTCTAATCCCAACGTGAGGCTGAGATCAAGAGACGCATTGTCTACCAACTGAGCCAGCCAAATGCCCCAATAACTTTTTTTTTAAGTTTATATTTGAGAGAGAGAGAGACTGAGAGAGAGAGACAGAGCATGAATGGAGGAGGGACAGAGAGAGAGGGAGACACAGAATCTGAAACTGGCTCAAGACTCCAAGCTGTCAGCACACGGACATGAGGCTTGAGCTCACAAACTGCGAGATCATGAGCTGAGCCGAAGTCAAACGCTTAGCCGACTGAGCCACCCAGGTGCCCCCATAACCATTTTTAAATGAACAGTTCAGTAGTGTTAAATACATTCACAACTGTAAATATATATACAGCTGTCAACACTATCCATTTCCAGAACTTTTTCGTCATCTACACAGAAACACTGTATCCATAGCTTTAACTCCCCATTCCTCCCTTCCTCAAGCTCCTGGTAACCTTGAATCCACTTTTCGTCTCTGTGGATTTTCTTTTTTCCAGGTACCTCATATGACTGGAGTCTTTAAATATTTGGCTTCCTGTGTCTGACTTACTTCACTTTGCATAAGATTTTCAAGGTTTGGCCATGTAGCACATATCAGAATTACACTCCTTTTGAAGGCTGAATAATAATTCCGTTGTATGCGTGGGTCACATTTTGCTTATCCGTTCATCTGCTGATGAGCACTGAGCTGTTTCCACCTTCAGGCTATTGCAAATACTGCAGCGAACACTGGTGCACAAGTATCTGCTTTCTCTTTGCTTGGGTGTATGCCCAGGAGTGGACTTGCTGGCCCCTTAGGATAATTCTGTACTGTACTTCTCAGGAACCGAGAGTAAGACCTTATGTCTTTGGTCCTTTCCTAGACATTTCAGAAATCGGGAGAAGTGCCAAGTCCTACTGTGAGCACACAGCCAGGACCCAGCCCACGCTGTCAGATATCGTGGTCACGCTGGTCGAGATGGGTGAGTACATCTCCACTTTCCCCTTCTTCTGTGCAACCGAGTTGGAGTCAGGAGAGAAAGAAGGGTCACCAGGCATGAGCCACATCTGCCGAGTGTTCTTGAGTTCCCTCGTGTGTCTCCTGGTTTGCTCTTAGCTTGAGAGAGGGTTCCTCTGAACCCCGTCACTGACCCCCTCCTTTCCTGTTGGGGGCTTGTGCTAGAGCTGCTTCCCAGTGGCAGCAGAGCCCTCGAGCTGCGAGTTGAAACTTTCCCACCACAGCATGACTTCCCTTCCATGGTCATTAGCCAGGGGCCTGGACAGTGATTTCAGCTTTCCTGTCTCTTAGGTTTCAATGTGGACACTCTCCCTGCTTATGCAAAACGGTCTCAGAGGATGGTCATCACTGCCCGTAAGTGACTTCAAACTGAGGTACTCAGCGAGTGCTCAATAAATAGCTGTGGGATGAATTCATTGAACACGGTGGGGATCGGTTTGTAGCTACTTGCTTGCTACAGGCTCCCTTCCATTGTCTGGGGCTACATGTAATATGATCTCTATTGAGATGAACAGGATTGGAGTACAAATTTAGTCACCAGAAAGGCACACCATCTCAGAGGCGTTGCTGTGGCTCTTGTGCTTCAGCTCCAGAAAAGGCTCTTTGAAAAATGCGAAAATTCTCATTCTTCCCCTAAATCATGTGAACAATGGCCTACAGGCTAATGTGGCCTACGACCTGTTTATGTAAATAAAGTTTTATTGGAACACAGCCGTGTTTACTTATTACCCGTGATGGCTTTCATGCTGTAACAGCAGTGTTAAGTAGTTGTCACAGACTAGATGGCTTGCAAAACCTAAAATATTTACTCTGTTCCTTATGCAAAAAGTTTGATGACCTCTGTCTTCGCTAAACGGGCTTGGGAGTAACTAGTTTGGGCTTGTAGGACATTAGGGAGAATATACTGGATTTTTTTGTCAGCATTCTGTTCATGCTGGCACCCTTTTCAGAAATTCACTCAGAGTCACAGCAGAAAGGGCTGTTTTCAGTCCCCTCTTGCTTTCATTAGCCCACACTGACAACACCCTGGCTCTGTGTCTGTCCTTGTTATCTGGGTTCTGTGAAAAGACCATTCCTTAGCCCACCCAACTTCCTTAGTTCCTCAGCATGCTCCCTTATATAGTCCTTGTCACAGCTGCCCACCCACGTACCTGTGAGGCACGCCGGCAGATTGCTGTGTGTGGGGCCGCCCCCATCCAGGTCATCCAGCAGGGCCGCGCATTGTTGGGGGGACCTTCTCGGGTCTTCAAGTCATTAGAGACCTTTGATTGATAGAAATACAAGGTGTCTGCTCTGCAATGAGAACGTTGAGGTCCAGCATTTACTTTGAGCAAAGGAGGGATGGGGTAGAGACCCAGGTCCTTGGGCGCAGGAGTAACCGCTTGTGACTCTCTGTTACAGCTCCAGTGACCAATCAACCAGTGACCCCCAAGGCCCTCACCGCAGGGCAGAACCGACCCCACCCACCGCACATCCCCAGCCATTTTCCCGAGTTCCCGGACCCCCACACCTACATCAAAACTCCGGTGAGTGATTTGGCCACAAGGGGAGCTATGGCACATACAGAAGTAGTCGGTTCTTGCTGACTATCAGACTGGAGTCCAAAGGTTTACCGGCAGAAGGGTAGTTCAGAACTCACAATGTCTTTCCTCGTTGACAGACCAGTTGGCAAAGGAGAATGATGATCTGCATGGTTCGAATGTGTTTTCATTTGCCAAGCGGGCAGTTTCATGTTGCCTTGGGAAGGTGCGCTGTGCCCAGGGGTCTTCCACACACTACCTTGTGCTGGTGCAAATGTGGCACCATGCAGGCTGTCAGGGCAGGTCCTCAGGACGCTTCTCCACACCTCAGGAAGAGCCGGGCAGCCCCCATCACAACACAGCCATTGCCCTTGACCAGTCGTCCCTGTATTAGTGTCCCAGGGCTGCCTGTGGCAACGATGTACCACAAGCTGGGTGGCCCCCGACAACAGAACTACATTGTCTGACACGCGGTTCAAGAGGCTAAGAGTTCAAAATCAAGGTGTCGGCAGGCTCACCTTGTAGGAGGATCCTTCCTTGCCTCTGCCTACCTTTGGGTGGTTTGCGGGCAGTCTTTGGCGTTCCTCGGCTTGTAGATGCAGCATCCCAGCTGCCTTCACGTGGCAGTCCCTCCGGATCACTCCTCACGTGGCCATCCTCCTGTAAGGGCACCAGTCACCTTGGATCAGTACCGCCGTACTCCGGTGTGACCTCACCTTCACTGATCACATCTCACGATGACCCGACTTCCAAATAAGGTCATATTCTGAGGTACTGGGATTAGAACTTCAACAAATCTCTTTTTAGGGAAGAACACAGTTCAACCTACCACAGTCCCCCAGTCTTTTATAGTGTATCTCTCTCAGTAAAAATATTAAGTACACATTCCAGTATTCACTTACTACACTAATATTATAGTGTAACACTATACCAAAATAATATGCATTTAAAGATCATCTCACCCGTATGAAAGGTTCAGGAAACTTGTCCCCTCCTTTATAATGACAACTGTGCGATTGCCTCTGCTTCTTATTTTTTTGAAATCTTTGTTTAATACTTGGTGGACTAGTAAGTTGGAGGTCTGATTCTTTTTCTTTTTTTAATGTTTATTTATTTTTGAGAGGGGTTGCAGGGTGATGACTGAGGATCTTAAGCAGGCTCTACGCTGACAGCAGCGAGCCTGATGCAGGGCTCGAACTCATGAACCATGAAATCACGACCTGACCTGAAGTCGGACACTCAACCAACTGAGCCACCCAGGCGCCCTTGGAGGTCTGATTCTAAAATTAGTTTGTTCTGGAACTTTTACAGCTCTCATAATTGAAAAGGGTACATTACAATGATAGGTAGCATTGTCGATTGCCCTTAACACTCCTCAAGGCACAGAGCCAGCAGAGTCTCCTTCTTCCCTGAGCCAGACCGCCAGGGACACTGTAGATGTCTTGGTTTGGAAGGGATCAAGTTGAGGGGCGGCCCAGCCCCTTTCTGACCCAGCTCAATTTGCAAAATTCTTCTCTGTTGTAAGCTTTCCACTTAGTTTGCTTCCAATGATTAAATCTAAGTCATTTGGAAAAAAAAATCATGAAACTCATTTTTTTCATTCTCATGTACAAATTATTTCAAGAATCTTTTTTAGGGGCGCCTGGGTGGCTCAGTCGGTTAAGCGTCCGACTTCGGCTCAAGTCATGATCTCATGGTTTGTGAGTTTGAGCCCCATGTTGCACTCTGTACTGACAGCTCGGAGCCTGGAGCCTACTTTGGCTTCTGTGTCTCCCTCTCTCTCTGCCCCGCCTCCATTCATGCCCTGTCTCTCAGAAATGAATAAATGTTAAAAAAAAATTTTTTTTAAAGAATCTTTTTTAAAATTTTCTGTTAAATGTCCACCTTCTTGAATGTCAGTCATCTTAAAAATAATTGTAAGATCTTGAGGCTCCTGGGGGGCTCAGTCAGTTAAGCGTCGCCTTCTTGATTTGGGCTCACGTCATGATCTCACAGCTTATGGGCTTGAGCCCCACATTGAGCTCCATGCTGACAGCATGGAGTCTGTTTGGAATTCTCTCTCTCTTTTTCTCTCTCTCTGTCCCTCTCATGCTCATTCTCGCTCTCTCTCAAAATAACATTTAAAAAGATAATTGTCAGATTGTGCACTTTAAAGTATATAACAAGTGTGTTCACAGTCCACTCAAATTGTACTTGTTTCTGTGTTTAAGTATAGACAGAGGAACTGCTTGTATAGGTGACACACTTGAGTTAACATTGACAACAGTGGGAATGATTCCAATACTTCTTTTTAAGTAAACTTTTACTGAAGTATCACAAACATACAGAAAAGTACAAATGATAAATGTACAATTTGGTGAAGTTTTACAAAGTGCATGTACATGTTGAAGTTGTACCCAGAGCTCAAAAAAAAAAAAAAAAAAAAAAAACAACCCCAAAACACCATAGGGGCCACCTCACTGGCTTAGTAGGTGGAGTGAGTGACTTTTTTTTGTTTGTTTTTTAATGTTTATTCATTTCTGAGAGACAGGCAGAGCATGACCGGGGAGGAGGAGAAAGAAGGAGACACAGAATCCAAAGCAGATTCCAGGCTCTGAGCTGTCAGCACAGAGCCCGACGCGGGGCTCGAACCCACAGACTGTGAGATCATGACCTGAGCTGAAGTTGGACACATAACCAACTGAACCACCCAGGCGCCCCTGGAGCGGGTGACTTTTGATCTTAGGACTATAAATTTAAGCCCCACATTAGGTGCAGAGATTGCTTAAAAGTAAAATCTTAAAAGCAAAACAAACAAAAAAACCCATAAATCAGCATTCCAAAAGGCTCCCATTCCCCTTCAGTGATCAGCCCTCAAAGGTAATCTGATTTTTATCACCGTAAGTTCTTTTGTCTATGTTTGTGCTTTATATTAATTATGTGGCTGCTTTCACTCAACATTATGTTTGTGAGATTCTCCTCCACGTTGCTGAGTATAGCTTAAATTTATTCAACGTACACATAATCTTTTGGTACTTGAGGTAATCCAGGTCGTAGCTTATACAAATGGCGCTGCTGTGAACATTCTAGCATTCGGTTAAACCATGGGAAACTGCAGTTTTTGTAAATCAGTTAGATATTTGCAATTTTATACATAAGGTTCAACCTGTTGCATGTCTTTTAGGGCACATATATTTGCATTCAACTGAACATGTACCCAGGGGTCTCAGGGCTGGGTCACTGGGGACGCACGTGTTCAGCTTTAGACGACACTGCCGGATGGTTCTGACACCTCTTTTAAAAAGCCCATCTCCATGGCATGAAGAGCAGTTGCTTTTTTGGTCATTATTAAAATGTCAGCTTTACCGTTACAATTTAAAATGTTTTGGCTAACTTCTCATTCTGCTGAGATCTCGGTCATTTTTCACTGTGTAACGTGATTGCCAAAAAGCTCATCATTAGGAGCCGGGGGAGTGTCAGTGCACCATTTTCTTGTTCATTTACACTTACGTGTTAATATCCTCAGTCTGTGGGTCTTGGAGGGGCCCTCTCGGGACAACATCTCCACTATGTAAAGGTTGCTGTAGGAAAACAAGGGGACACCGAGGCAGCCACTCGCGTGCTGCAGGATGTCACACTCCCCCGCTGGGGCTGGGTTGCCCTGTCGGGGCTTCCCTGGGGGGATGACTCCCCCTCTCCCTTCAGGATTGCATCTCCTCTGCCTTACGTGACAGCCCCTAAATGGAGGCCCAGGGGCACTTGGTATCGTAAATGTGTGTTTCTTAATCTTTAAGCTTAAAAACAAATATTAGCAATAGTTTCATCATTTTCGTTCTGCCCATCCATGCCCTTGGGGGTCTTGGCTCTCCCTGACGTCACTGGGTCGTTGAAAGGGCGGAAGGATGGGGCCACAGCGAGGATGATCCATCGACACGACTGTAGCGTCTTGGCTGTTGTCCTTGCAGACGTACCGCGAGCCCGTGTCGGACTACCAGGTCCTGCGGGAGAAGGCTGCGTCCCAGAGACGAGACGTGGAGCGAGCACTCACCCGCTTCATGGCAAAGACGGGCGAGACCCAGAGTCTCTTCAAAGACGACGTCAGCACATTTCCATGTGAGAGTCTCTCCCCTCTGTGGACCCTGTCTTGGCGCTTGAAATAATCCCGCCATCTTCCCTTTCTCTTGGCATGGTAGGAAGAAATGAGGGCTCTGTCTTGGTCTTGGGGGCACCTTGTTCTTTGCACTTCTGGGTCCTCCTCCCAGATCTTCGGCGCCTTTCCCCAGCTGATAAGTGCAAAACGTTACGGCCTTAGTTGGCAGCAGCTGCTTGAGGTTGGGTTTAAGCTGCCTCGAGGGTGACTGAGGCCTCGGCATCAGACAGACTCATACAGTGGAAGTGACATTGTCATCGAGGGCAGGGCACTTACAGAACATCCCCCAGTCTTTGCCCTTCCCGTCCCTGAAGTTCCCATCTCTGCACAGTCACGTCACCGTGCACCTACGTTCCTTCACCTCCACAGATTTCGGTCTTCTCAGAGGTGAACAGACAGGTTGGTTTGGGCGATCAATTCAGTCAGCAGGGCCCCATCGAATGCTTGCTGCCTGCCTGGCCCTCAAATACTAGCCGCTAACAGTTCATAAGTGCCGGGTGCTGCGCCCATCATCTCCCTTGTATTATCTCATTAAATCCTCTCGTAAACCAGCTTATGAGTTAGGAACTGTTATCCCCACCACTGTAGGAAGCCAAGGCCTATAGAGAAAAGAAATGAGGTCATTTGCCCCAAGTCACACAGCTGGTAGTTAGAATTCAACCCGGCTCTTTCTGACCACAGGACCTCATGGCTGAGCCATAACAAAGGTAATCTTAGCATGTCTCCTGCTAATCACATTCTGCCGCAGAAATACACATAGATGATTTCTTTTAATTTTTTTTTAATTAATAATTTCTTCTTTTCATCAGTGCTTTTTGGAAGAATTGGAATGCTTGCTTACCTGAAGTACCCTTTAGCTCAGCGGACACACTTACATGCAGAGAGGTGACAAGTCCAGTATTTGGACTTGAGTCCCTTAGGCTGAAGAGATCAATCTCCTTGCTCAGATATGAAGCTTAAGGAGTTAACTGAGCTTGGGCATAAGGCCACTAAGCTGATGCTTTGCTAGGAAGCAGCCCCAGCTCTGTCCAAGTTGGGTTATACTTGGTAAAAGTGGGCCCCAAGGTCATATTGCCCAAGTTGAGATTCCACTCTGCCACTTTCTATGTGCTTGAGGGGGTCACCTCGCTTTTCCATGCCCCACATTCCTCACCTGTGAAATGGAGCTGGCAATTGTATGCAACAGGGTGGAGGTGAGGATTAAAGATACCATGTAGGACATGGCATGGCGCAGGGTGAGTGTTTGGAGTGGGTTAGCCATACTGTTGTTACTTGTTGTGGTTCGCGGAATTGTGGGGCTCTCGGCCCACTGTAAGGGCCTCGTGACTGGAATTGTTCCCCTCTTCCGATTTCCCAGTGATCGCTGCCAGGCCCTTCACCATCCCCTACCTGACGGCCCTCCTTCCATCGGAGCTGGAGATGCAACAGATGGAAGAGACAGATTCCTCGGAGCAAGATGAACAGACAGACACCGAGAACCTCCCTCTTCATATCAGCACGGTGGGTCCTGCCTTCTACCTACTGCACGGTCCTCAGCCTGGTCGCTCCGGAAGCCTGAGACCAGGCTCGTGATCATCTCTTGAGAGATGTCCCTGTCCCCAAGTCCCTGTCCTGGGGATTTATTCATTCGCCAAACACTGAACAAGTGTCTGCCAGCCAGGCACGGTTCCGGGTGCTGGGGAATTAGCAGGAGACAAAATCGACAGCATTTCCTGCCCTCATGTAGCTAAGAAAAAATTATAAATTAGGAGACAGGAAGTAGAAAGGTATGAGGGAATGTAGTTCCGGATAGGGTGCCTGGGAGGGTGACATCAGAGTGAAGACCTTAGGGGAACAAGGCTTGTACATATTGGGGAATGGAGTCCTCCTCGCAGAAGGCACAGGAGATGCTAAGGCCCTGAGGTGGGAGGCATTGTGCTGAAGGACAGCGGTGCCATCAAGATGGCATGAACAAGGCAGGGTTCCTGGGGAGTCACGCCTTAAAGGCTGTATTAAACACTGGGCTTTTGCTCAGTAAGGTGGGAGCCATCGGGAATGCTGAGCGGAGGAGAGTCGGGGTCTGATGTAGGTTTGCTAACGGGGTCAGTCGGGTTGCTATGCTGAGAGTGGGCAGTGGAAGGTAAGGGCAGAAGCAGCTCTCTGCTTCTCAGACTCCAGTAAGGAGTCTCCGCAGTAAACTGACAGGTGGCAGTACAAGTGAAGATAATGAGACATGGTCAGATAGACCATTTGGTCAGATTCTAGACTGTGTTCAGGGCAGAGCCAAGCGACAGCATGGGTGTGAGATGTGCGGGGAAGCTAGCCAAAGAGAAATGCAAGGTGTTTTGCTTGAACAATGGGAAATATGGAGTTGCCTTCAGCCAAGATAGGGAAGACCTGGGGGGGAGGGAGGTCCAGGAGATGGTGGAAAGGCACGGGTTCTGGTTAAGCAGGGTGGCTTTGAGATGCTTGTTAGCCAGGTGGTGACGTTGGGTGGCAAGATGGATGTCGGGTTGCGGTGTGGGGAGCTGTTAGGGCCAGAGATGGGAACTTGGGGCTCATCAGCATGTAGATCGTGTTTAATTTTTTTCTTTAAGGTCTTATTTATTTCTGGAGAAAGAGAGAGGCACCATGAGCAGGGGAGGGTCAGAGAGAGAGGGAGATACAGAATCTGAAACAGGCTCCAGGCTCTGAGCTAGTTGTCAGCACAGAGCCCGACGCGGGGCTCAAACCCACAAACCGTGAGATCATGACCTGAGCCGAAGTCGGACGCTTAACCGACTGAGCCACCCAGGCGCGCCTAGATCGTGTTTAAAACCATGAGCATACCTTGGCCGTGGGTGAGGTGAAAAAGGACAAGAGAAATTGGACTCCGTAAGTATAGGCTATGCGGTCCATTACGGTAGCCACGTGTCTATTTATACTGAAATTCAGAGCTCCCACCTCGCTCATTCTGTGCAGTGTGTGACTCTTGATCTCAGCATTGTGAGTTCAAGCCCCACGTTGGGTATAGAGATTACTTAAAAATAATATCTTCATAAATAAATAAACGATGTACATGACATACAACTAAAAATTCTGAATTTTAGTCACGTTGGCCACTTTTCGAATAGCCACCTATGGCTAACGGCTACCACACAGGACAGTGCAGATGTGAACGTTTATGTCATTGCAGCAAGTTCCATTGGACAGCGCTTATATAGACAATCGTTTCAAGGAATTTTGTTGTAAAGGGAAGGGAAAGGATGGGGTGGTGGCCAAAGGGGAAATGTGAAGGAGTTAAGAGAGGTATATTTACTTTTGTTTGTTTCTTTAAGATTAAAGAAATAACAGGATGTCAGTATGCTGATGGGAATGATCTGATAGAGAGGAAAAGTGGATGCAGGAGAGAAAGAAACATTTTGGAATGATGTCCTTTGGTAGGTGAGAGGGTAAGGGATCTAGGGGACGAAGCGAGGTGGAGGGGTTGGCCTGGTCATGGGCATTCCATTCCCAGGGGAGGAGGTAAGAGTGCGTGGGCAGAGACTGAGGCGGGATAGATGCGCTCCTCGGACTTGTGGGGGTTCTCGTCCCGTGAGCAGCGTGCTGTGCTCCGCACGTAAGAGGACGAGACCCCACTCTTGTTCCTGCGTCTTTGCGAGAAAGTGCCAAGTAGAGCCAAAGAATGGCTAAAGCTCAAATGCCTCTAAGGCCTGCAGGACCCTATGGTCAGGTGACCATAGTCATCCATCCTTTAAGACTGGCCCTGGCCCTGGTTTCAAAGCACAGGAGGCCTTGGTGGCTGTCGTTGGACCAGGCAGTTCCCGTGTTCTCTAAGGTTCTGTGAGGCCTGCGGTCGCCGACAGCCCCAAGGTGCAGGGGCGGGGTGCCTGCTCTCTGGTACGTGCCGAAGGGCCTCCTTACTTGAATACACGTTGCTTTAATGTTGGATTATTCCTTTCAGAATTAGGGCTGGAAGCCCTTGGCTTCACATAAAGCAGAGGAACTTGGTATTCTGCGCTTCTGTTTCGGACTCAGTTAATTTGGTCTTGGGTCGTGGACTATGGTGATTGGGTCGTGGACTAAAGTGAGGTCCACCCTAGGAGGAGAAGGAATCTTCTAAGCAGACATCACCTTCCCTTTGTAAGTACAAAGTAGTTAAAGGGCCCGCGGATGTGTCCTCCAACGCCCCAGGTAATGACATAGGTGAGGTCATGGCAGTGAGCAGGCCGGGGCTGAATTGAAGGCTGGCAGCTGCTTGGAGCCCAAGTCAGACAGCAAGGACTAGGAAGCCGTGACCCTCAGAGTCAGATGGGCCGGCTTCAGATCCAGACTGCGCTGCCCTCCAGAGACTGTGATTTGGTTGCCGTACCTAACTTATGAGTCCGGTTCTTCCCAAGCACACGCAGTAGGAGGAGCAGCTAACTCAGCAGCGAACTGCAGGTGCCCAGCAGCTCAGCTCACGGCACCCGTTGCTTCCCTCACCCCCTCCCGCCCCCACCCCCACTGTCTCGGGCTGTACGACCACTTGCTCTTCTATTAAAAGTACATAAATAAAAAGACCCCAAGGAAAGGATTCTAGCAACAATTTATATACAGTCAGATGGACTTGTTAATGGCATTTTGTCGAACTGGCGAACATAAGCCTGCGTTTGAAAAGCCACAACGTAGAAAAAATGTTTGGGAAAGAAGTGCTTATGCTGCCCATGTTTGCTGTCCATCCACGCTGTCTCCTGGGAAGCAGCCGGTGCCACCGGTCTCTCGTGTGTCCCTCTGGAGACATGGCCTCCTTGTCGTCATGCCCACAAATAGCAGATCACTAACGGGTCTCCCTTCCTGTGTCCCTTTATCGATGTGGCCGTCCCATATGCGTACCGCGGCCTCTTCCGCCCTCTTTCGGGCTTCACGTAGCCCATTGTCTGGATGTAACCATCAAATTTAACCAGCTCCCCGTAGATGTCTGTGTTTTCTATCCATAGCGTTTACGGATGTCATTATGGTGAATTAAATAACTAGTATTTTAACTTACTCTTTTGTGTGTCCATGGCAGCACCTCCTTCAAAGACCATTGCCCAGGAGTTACTTCCCGTCACCTGGTTCTGGTTTTTCCTAAAGGGGCTGTGCATTTGACATTAGTGTGTAAGAGACTTTTCTCTTCCTGTATGTCTGAACCAGCGGCCTTCCGCAAACAATACCGGGGTCTAAACTTGTGCTCTTAACGAACAACATGCCACTCGTTTACTCAACAAGTATTTATTTGGTGCGGTGTGTGTCAGATACTGTTGTGGGTGCAAATAGAGCAAACAGAACACGTGCCTTTTGGGAGCCCGTGTGTCGGCACTGGGACAACAACAATAAATGTTAACATATAAATAAATGACTTACTGTGTATTAAAGGTGAAGATGCTGTTGTCGGCGCAAGGGGACCAAGTAGGGTAAGACCCAGGGTGAAAGGAGGGGGGTTCAGTTTTACATCGGGTGATCGAGGTAGACATCACTGAGAAGGAGACATCTGACAGGAGACTTGAAGGAAGTAAGCAAGTGAGCCACGTGGCTATCTGGGGAAGAGTGTTCTGGGAAGGGAGCAGCCAGTGCAAAGGCCCTGAGGAACAACACAGAGGTGAGTGTGGCTGTGGCTGAGGGAGGCAGGGGGAGAGAGGCAGAGGTCAGATCGGGTAGGACCCCACAGGCAGCTTTAAGAGCTGACTTTTAATCGGGTGAGACGGGCGTGTTGGGGGGGGTTGTGGAACAGAGGAGGGACATGTCGGAACTTCCTCAGGGAGGACTGACTATGGGGATGTCAGTTAGGACGCTGCCACCGCAGTCTGAGGGAGAGACAGTGTGGGTCCAAGAGGGCGACTGCAGTCAGGAGGGTGGCAGTCCTCAGCCTCCACCCATACTTAGAAGGTTAAGGCCAACAAGCTACCCTAACACATTGGACGTGGGGGGTCTGAGAAAAGCGAGGATGACTGCGGAGTTTGGGCTTGAACAGCTAGAAGGATGGGGTGGCCGCGGGAGGACTGTGGGAAGACCGGGCACAGGGGAAGGGCCGGAGTTCAGGTTCTGGCACAGAAGTTCGAGGTGCGTCCTTGACACCAGGAGATGTCAAGGGCGCAGGTGGCTACGCGAGCCTGGGGGTCAGGAGAGCAGTCGGGGCAGCGAGGCCCACATGGCAGTCGCTGGCGTGGACACCATGTTGGAAGCTGTGAGGGGCCTCGGTCACCCCCAGGGCATGTGGGGCTCGCCGGGGCTCACACGCTCTGGCCTCCGCGGGCTCCAAAGGACTCTTCCGCGCCTACCGTTTTTAAACAAATCCCCGTGAGTTTGGTACTTGACTTTTATCTACTCCTGTCCCTCCCTATCTCAAGGCTGCCTGTCCCTGAAGGAGGCAAGAAAGTGGCATTTGCAGCTCTGCTTGGGAGAAGAGCAGCTGTTGCCCCACGACTCGGGACCCCCATCCTGGCCCTGTGAGACATGTGAGCCTAGCAGAGGGGGCCTCGGAGCCTCCGGCAGAGGTCCCAGGGCTGGCTTCTCCCCACCCCCGACTCTCCCCTTCCATCCTTACCATCTCAGGAAACACTCGAGGCAGGGTTAAGGTGAACTGTCAGCAACTTTGAGGATGGGGGTGGTTGCAGTAAAGAGAGGACGGCAGGGAAGGAAATCAAGCCGTTCAGAACCTCAGAAAGATTGGGAGCCAAACATCCCAGGCAGGTCTGGTCACGGTCAGACCTCGTGTCCGCCATGAGCTAGGTTGACCGTGGAGCACCCGCTTTCATCAGAGCCTCCGGAAGGTCCACGACAGCTCTAGGTCGCTGTGTGGTCCCTGCCGGACCAGGTGTTGGAGAGGACAAGCCCAGGGACCCTGGGGGAACTGGGTCTTTGGGGAGAACAGAATTGGTGGGACAGGGAGGGGCGAGCGGCCGAACCTAGAAGTGAGACAGTTTCTGCAGGCGCACTTGGCCTTGACAGAGGTCCCTGGCCTAGGCCTGCTGCCCCTTGTGGGAGAGCCTGCTGTTCTCCACACTGCTGTCTTGACCACAGAATTTCCTGGTTGAGGTCAGGCCCTTTTGCCACAGTTACCTAACGGGAACCTCAGTGGCAGAACCCTTGGTCTGTCACCAGGGGGCGCAGCCCCACCAGCTTCTGGTCACTTACAGTCTCTCAGGCCTGCCTTCTAGGTCAAGTCCTTGGTATGATTGTGTGATTTTCTTTTTTCTCCCCTTTCCCCTGCAGCTTGTGCTCATTTTTTAAAAAACGTGGGAAATAGAAGAGAGTATAAATGCGGAAAAGGAGAGTCAATCATCCATATTCCTAGAACCAGTTACGAATTACAAATAAAAAGTTTTAATTGGGATCATGTTGGATACGTGTAAACCTATAAACTTTTCTCCCAGATGGCTTTCCTCAAAAAGCAAAGAGCGAAAGTCCTGACCCCCAGGTCACCGATGGGGATTGTCATTGCTGTGTCGTCGGTTCCTGCATATACCCTGCTTGGCCTTGGCAGGAACCCTCAGGGCTCAGAAGCTTCTGACCTCTGCTGCAGTGTGATCGTTGGTACCTGTTGCAGGTACCAGATATTCGGAGGAAACCGATTACAGTTTTCGTTCCGTTTGGTCTGGGAGATTCCCTATGCACACGATTTGTTCTGGCCCTGTGTCCTGCGAAGCATCAAGGTCACTTCTCTTTGTCCTTATCTCCCCACAGACTAGGTTTCCTCCTTGAACATGTAACTGTTAGCCCCTGACTCCCTGCCAGGACTGTCTTCTAACTCATGCCCCTGCCTTCTCAAGAGGCTCAAAGTTTTGTGTTCGGTGGCCCCCTGTGCCTAGGCCATTGGTCTCGTCTTCCTCTGATAGCCAGCCCCTGCCTGGGCCTCATCTCATCTGGGGCAGAGATAGGTATATCAGAAAGTGTTCCCGGGGCTTCTAATTTCTTGACGCAAGCGACGCTTACGATGGGCATGAATGATCTCTTTCCTTACGCCATTGGTATTTTGCTTTGTTTTGGCTTTTGCTCAAAGGAGGATTCTGGAGCCGAGAAGGAGAACACCTCTGTCCTGCAGCACAACCCCTCCTTGTCGGGAAGCCGGAATGGCGAGGAGAACATCATCGATAACCCCTACCTGCGACCCGTGAAGAAACCCAAGATTCGCAGGAAGAAGTGAGTTGGAGGCGGGGGTGCAGAGAGGCTTCTCCGGCCAACCAAGGTGGCCCTCTCTGCTCCTTGGCAGGAAAGAGAGGCTCCCCAGTGGGTCTGAAACCTGGGGAAAGCTCCTCCGGTGAGAAGAAAGCTTTTCCTTTTTCCTTGCCTCACTCATCTGCCCTCCCCCCACTCCCCAGTACGTACCTCTTCTTGCAAAGAGGCTGAGTGTCCTGCAGCCCGGGGACCAGCCCTCAAGCCCTGGCGCTGTCCCCATAGAAGCACAGCAGGTGGGGCCCCCACTGGGCAGGCTCCATGAATTCTTCTTCTTTCTAGGTCCCTCTCGTGAGCCGAGAAGGAAGCCTGCCTTAAACAGAGACGCGGATACCACTCTCTTGGGGCTGTTAAAGCCACTGTGCCCTCCTCAAGGTCAAGCCCAGGCAGCCGGATGTGACTGGGCATGATTTTCATAGCAAACTCCATATTAAGATGACCTATTTTCACTGGATATTTGGGTGGAGCCGGACGCGACAGTGACAATCAGCTTTTCTTAAACAAGCTGGCCGTCCCATGGAGGGGGCAGGAGCAGCCAGTAACTTCCGTTATTATCATAGGACTTGACTCCTTTGAAACCTGGAAGGCCAGGAAAGGTGGCAGGAAAGAAAAGATTCTTTGTCTGCCGTGCCTCCTGCTGGAAAGACTGCCTGACTCGTCTGTAGTTCAGGCTACCTGGGCTCCTCTTACTGACTCACTGACAGCATGTGGCGCCAATTTATTGCCCCAGAACCTCAATCTCATTTCTCTCTTCAGCTGGGCTCCACGTGCCCTGCGAGCTGATGGAAGGTGACTTTGCCCTCCCTCAGCCTTTTGGAAACAGGCGGCCCACCCATCACGGCGTCGACCTGGGGCTGGCAGCGTCAGGCAGAGTGCGCAGGCGTGGTACGTGCAGAGGCGGAGCAGGGCGGCCCTGACTCTCTCACGCACCCATAAAGCCGGGCTGCACTCTCCCCTGAGAGATTTGTCACTTACCGTTCCCCTGAGGGATGTGTGCATGGGAACTTCCAAGTCCTGCCCCATCCCAGGAAAAGAAGTTTTCTCTGACAAGAGCCTAAATCAGTGGATAGATTAAACCGTGACTTGTAGAAGAATGACTGATCATAAACAATAGGAAAGGGATTTGATGGCGGGGGTGGGGGCAGGGTGAGAGTTTGAAGGATGGGCCGCCGTCTGCTGGAGGGCTGGTTTGGACAGAAGGCCGGGGCCCCACCTTCTGAGTGGGCTGAGAGGAGCCTGCAGGAGCCTGCAGGCCAGGCCAGGGTGTTCTTCCAGAAGCAGGTCTGAATCTGTCCAACCTCTTTTCCTCCTGGGGAGCGAAGCTTCATCTTTGATGTACCCTCCAAACCAAAAACACACAAAGGTAAGGAAGACGCTAGGTAAGCTGATACCCTTTGGCTGGTCTCCAAAGGAAGAGATTTAAAAACCCAAGTCCAAAGAAGAACAGTGCCAGGGACACCTGCAAGTTAACACAGGATAGACAAGGAGTCCTCTGAGTTCGTGGCCTAAGGTCCGTATTGAACGTTCCTTGTGCTCCGCTTCCAGAGTCCTCTCTCCATCATGCTCTTGGTGGATTTGAAAACAAAAAAATGTGGCGGCCGCAGCCATGTGCCTCTGGCCTCACTGTTGCCCCAGGCGTTCTATCCCATCGCCTGGAAGGAAAGAGCTGCTGGGGAGTCACTGAGGACAGCAGACTAGGGACAGAGGAAGCGTCTTTCAGGCCCCTAGCAGCCTGGAACTCTTCCAGTTGGCCGCAGGCAGGTTGGGCCTGGGCCGAGTCTCTGATTCGGCCCTTGGCGATTCTTGGCCCGTGGAGCTTAAGTACAGACCCAGGTTGGAGCCATGGCAGATGCAGGGCCGAAACCTTCCCGGCTTGCTGTCCCCCACTCACAGAGCAGCCATCCCTGTTGGCGTTTCTGCAGTTCCTCTTTCACCAGTGCTGTCCAAAACCAACACCTGCCCAGTGCCATCATGCTGAGGGGGGCGGTGGCTTTGGGCCAGAGTTGCCATTTCCGCTGTCAAGATTTCAGAGTCCGCTGTTCCGTTCTGGATGAGAGGCCCTGGGGAATGATTAGACAGCTGGAAACATTGACCCTACCATTGTCATGTACAAACTGTGCATAACTCTCCATGTGTATTTATAAATTTCTATTTTTTATAACTTTGGGAGACTCGTTAGAGGGAAAA